GAATGGAAGTTTAATCCACCGTACTCAAGTCATCGGGGAGGAGTGTGGGAGCGTATGATTCGTTCCGTTCGACGCGTCCTGTCAGCTATATCGCGTGAACAGGTTCTTTCTGAAGAGTCTTTAGCCACTTACCTAACAGAAGTTGAGCGTATTTTGAATAACAGACCGATGACACCCGTCGTTGATGACCGTGACAATATAGACGTTCTGACGCCAAATCATATTCTATTGCCTCAAGGACTAACAGAACTTTCTGGCGAAACACTTGACCTCCGTGAACGTTATACCCGACATTGGAGACAAGCTCAACTGCTAGCCGACTCATTTTGGAGAAGATGGATCCGAGAGTATATACCACTTTTACAGTCCCGCGGAAAATGGATCAAACCTCGCCGCGACATAAAGATAGGAGACCTAGTGCTCATCCTCGACTACCAAACACCACGTAACTCTTGGATAAAAGGTATTGTCACCGATTCTACTGCTGGTGAAGATGGTCATGTGCGAAAGCTCGAGATCCGGACTCCGCGAGGGACAGTTCAAAGAGATATTAGGAAGACATGCCTGCTAGAAGGAGTAGACTAGTTCAACGACGCACTTTCAGCATATGATCGCGATTGTGGCAAGAGTAAATTGTACCATTCTCGTGGTTGTATGCGTGATTGTGCAGGGCATAATGGGTTAGTTTAAGAAAGCCATGCCGGCTTGGGGGGCGGTGTTGATTCCATTCAGCCCTGCACCCAAAACATTGTATGACCCATTACACTCGTCCCCTTACGACCTAGCATACTCGAAATTCTCACCCACGTCCGTTCCTGTTTGCCCCCCATTACTGACAACTGTTCATTGTTCCGTGATCGACGCATCACAGCACTCGTTCCATTTGACCCCCTCCCCCGCACACTCACATGACTTGTCCGCATGTCCGACTGTATTGATTTTCTATCATGTCCACACTCCGACTTGTTCCACACACACGCACACACACATCAGTAGACCCTGCAAACCCACACGCCCGTCTGATTCGTGTTTCACGGACGCACGCACCTGTGAGTCTTGACCTTGAAATCACGAGATTTGATCGGCCTCGATTGGTCACTGGTCCCTCATATGCATGTGCACGAACTTTGCCCGCCCCATTGTTGTTGTTGCTTGACACGAGACGTTTTGATCGTCTCGCTAGTTCTCGTTGTATTGACTTGATTTCACGGTTTTCCGGTACGCTGTTCCTACCGGATTGTCCCACAGTTTGAGGTTTGTTTTCTGTACACTTTATTATTTATCCCCAAACTTGTATTGCAGTACCGTACCTTGATAAACCTGTTTTGATACAAGGCATTTGGTCTTGTGGGTTTAACGCGTCACTCTAACGTGGATTATTTGATACCGTGGAATTAATAGTATCTCTTGCTTCCAATCTTGAACCTAGCTATGCATATGGTTCTACCAACGACGCGATTTCAAAACTTCTCTCCTTTCGGTTTCTTTTAAATTTTTGTGCATCACAGTTGAGTTCAACTTGAATCACCAAGCGGATTTCGATTTTCTGTCCCGAAAATAATGCTTACACTACGTGCAGTGATTTATTCATCGATATAGGAACCAAAATGCCACGAACAACGTAGACAGTCCCCGGAATATGTGCATTCTGAAATATGCAGTAAAACGAGCGGGTCTTAGGAACTAACCTTGGAAGTACTGTCTCCAACACCATGAGCCACGTGACGAATCAGACTACCCACATCCAAATCTACCAGACCGGAAATCCCTGAGGTCAGATCATTGATCAATCCAATCGGATTACCGAGAAAATCCACGGATCCAAAGATGTGCACCGCATTGGCGAGTAGCTGCATGTGATAGTGTGTGTTCAGTTGTTCCAGCAAACAGGAGAGGCTTTCCAGCACGTGAACACGATCCACGGAACCTGTGGAAGATGAATAAGTGACTGACTGAGTGCATCCAGAACACTGTTAGACAAAGTGTCTAATCACAACAGCACATGTAACACCTATTTAACAAGCCTGATCGTCTTCGAAACTAAACTGTGTAGTTTTAGCTAATAGATTTAGAACGCACGTACAACGCTTTTTGGAAATAGTGACAAAATGTTGATGCTGAACAAAAGGGGAGCAGTCACCTTGGTCAGAGGAGCAACTAAAGATAACTTGCACGCTTGCATTGTTGGCTCTAAGCTGGCAGGTGAGGAAAAGGAGTAACACAAGCCGATAATGATGAAAACAAAACAAGCACGCATAACTACGGGCAATGATAGTAGACGAATACCGCGAATTAGGGGAAATCATTTACCAATAGATCCAAGTGTCGTACATATACAGAGAGAAGTACAAGAGAATCCAAATAAAAACTACTCGCCTAATAAAAATCGGTAACTTACCTAACTGCACATCAGCGTTTGTGAAGCTCATCAGTGACGGCAGTAGACGTTTAGCTCCAGACAAGTTCGAAGATGTCAGTGAATTTTTCGCTGTTTGCACACTCAGTCGGATAATGATCGGGGCGACCCAGAGATGATCGAACCAGAGGAGTGTTCCATTATCGGTAACGGGACTATCATTAGCCCTATCGTCAACGTGGTAATCGCATGTGAGATAAAGTAGAGGGAGGATAAACAATATACTTGGTAGAGCTAGGTTCAAAACAGCTAAAACCAAGTTTATCAAAATCCAAAGCTACAGGTAGTGACCGAACGCGTGCAACACTGTGACGTTCGTCAGGTCTCTTGCTCTAAAGACCTAGGGTTTTGAGACTGTCTGAAAATAAATAAGGTATTACCCGATAAGGGACATTACATATCTTTAGTTGTATCCGCTTGCGTTATTTCTTCTATTAGTCGAATGTCTTATGAAAGTGAAATCTCTCCATCTCGATGGCGGTTGCTGGTGCATCCGTTGTAAGATAACTAAACCTTGGCAGAAAAAACACTATCAATACACTATCTGTCTTTATTTTTGAGCACTTGAGCCAATCGTTTTGGGATGGAATCCACCAATTTGACAATCAAATAGTATTTCTCAGTTTCCTACATGCGATACCCTGGTCACTGACGACCACTGGTTGAGGTTTTGAACACGGAAATTGTTTTCGATAACATTCAGATCCGGGTTGTCGGGTGGTGACTGAATAATTTCAGGATTGGAACTTGCTTATCCAGAAAGTATATAAATGACAGAAAAAAATATAATCAGGACTGAAATATTTCTATGTAAACCTAGCGTGAAACTTGATAATCAGTTATCTTGAACGACCATAGCCTTTTGTGAAGGTGTTTCAAGTGCGCTAGTCACGGAAAACCTGACTGATGAATGCAACAAATTTCGTACTATCCAAAGTGGCATGTACGTAGTCCAACAACAATGTAATTAGTATATAATTCCTACTGAACTCATCGTGGGAGAAGAGGAGTAGCTTTCTGAGCCCGGTGGGATGGACTTCTTTAGAAAACTAGGCCAACAGATCACTTCTCTCAGATTGATGTCATGCTCGTCAACCTTATGCGTTTGTCAGGGAAATAACCCGAATGCCAAAATGAACCATAAATTAAATAGCAAAACCAATCCGCGCCAACGTTTGTTGGGCGTTTAATAATGCCCTTACATAGGCCGCTGTCATCTATACTTAGAATCTGGCCACCATTTTACCAATAGTGGCATGAGAAAATCGTGATTAATCCGCTCGAACTATCGGTTATTGGCAGCTTCCTTCAGCTGTAACCGAATTTATTCATCGTCTCGTCTCTAAGTAGTTGGTTTACTTCTTGTGTTTATTTGTTGGTGGGGAAATTCCTTCGGTTATACTATAAATTGAGTCTATGTTAAATCGAAGCACTGGCACAAGTCAGGAGCTGAAATTTCAGGCTTATCCGCCCCTCGAATATGTCGATTCCGTTTCAATTGTATATCAGAAACTCTTGAATATTTTATCCCGTTTGGGCGTGGTGACATTCGGAAATGCTTTTTAAAGGAGCCGCACATCTCAAGGCAGACTGTTGAAGGTCGATTTATCCATATATTTACTGTGCAACTCATGTGAAAAGATAAACTTTAGAACAGTTGGACAGACCAAAATAAACACTCTCAGGAACTAGTAATCCACGCTGAAAAATAGCGAACCTCTATGCGGAATGGTACCACACTGCCTAATTTTGAGCCGTAACATTTGAACTAATAAGAAGCCTGTCGTAACACAAGGTCGCGAGAATTCAACTGGTAAAACAAGAGAATGAAGAACACTGCACTGGGAGATAAAGCTGGGGATAGATGCTATTGATAAGGAAGTATGACGTCGAAAAACTGATCTATTTCTCAATTTAGAGTCATGTTGCACGAGTTCCACCAATACTTGTATCATTTGATGTAGTAGTGGTTACAGTGGGTTTACGATTGCGGTGCTCACACTATGGTCTACAGACGTTTTTAAGACATTACAGTGCTATCACCTTTGCTTATGGCACATTCTGTTCTATAGTGAAAAGCACAAATCTCCAATGAAAAAATGTGTAACGAATGAATGAAAGGCAAACCGAATGCTTTAGAACCTAGGTACAGTTCTAAAACAGGATTTGCAAAATAAGACAATACATCAACGGTAAACGGGACAATGATTGAAAATCTGTCGCAAGTGTAATGTGGAACACTGTAGTCAAAACAATTAAGACATGCACAATTAGAAAACTCACCTGGGATGAATGGGTTCATCCAAAGTGACTGAGTAGTTTCCCGCGACTCTGAGCGGATCCATTACGCGTTGCCAGAACTGAATCAATTTCAAAAGAAGTAACTCTTCGGCCTGAATCACGATTGGACTGATTCGGATCTGTCATTTTTCGCAAATAAAGGAGGATAAAAAGTTGAAAACCCAACACAGAATTTAATACGAAAACAGATGAACTGAAAGGAAAGAAAACAAACGAAGTACTAAAATAATAACAATAATAATAGTTTACTTCTTTTTGCTGAATATACGATGCTACATTATTTTTCAGTGAAGGAAACGCAGTTAAACCAAAGGTTGTCGAGGGAAATACATAAACGGGGAGGCAGAGTGGTGCTGGCGGTGGGTGAGTGGGAACAGGCAGTCTACGAAATGCCGTAATAGTTACTTGAATCATTTGACCACTTCGGACGAGACTGTATTTCAGTTGCATATTGTGAATGCAAAGATTCTTATTCTTTCCAAGTGATCTGTAATTATACTAACCCATTACACCACAGAAAACACGAAACAAGTCGAAAAAAGCGACGAATGGAGCAGCAATTTGAAAATTGCACGAGATAGGATGAAGATAAAGAATGCAAACATACGTCGAGACACTCAGAGTGGGGCTCATAGAAAGAAACAGTGCAAGGAGAACGAGCTAACACTGTTCATCTTTTCTCATGAAACGCCGGGCGCTTGTCACAGAACCAATAAATAAAACTGTGCGCTCAAAAACCATATAGTATAATCGAAACACTGCATTGTTGTTGTATTTCACAAGCACCTGAATTCAGTCTTTGTGTCTTCCAGATCACGGTACAACAATCTTTTTGACAAGGAAAATAGTTCATTATCTGCTGGAGAGCACGATAATGCTAGGTTGTGGAGGCCAAAGGAGGTGAATTTTCTTAGAGAATTCACAACCGGAGGGTTTCGCTGGCCAACGCCTAACCCCCAAGCTATCGGGGTGGTNNNNGGGGGGGGGGGGGGGGCGGGTTGCCTTGTCCATCGGATCATACGGCTTTCGGACGGAGTCAAACGCCCAAGATGCTCAATACACCTCGATGCCCAATCGAGCCGATGACCGCCACCATGAATAGGTAGGTGTGTGGTGAGTGGGGTTCGTACACCTCTTCTTCGTTGATTAATTCAGAATCAAGGTTTTTAGCCAACTCCCCTAGGTGAACTTACAGTGGTTCACTGACTCGGTTATAGCCCCGGATATTGGCATCGAAACATTGATCCAACCCAGTCCGTAGCTCAAATTGTAAAATAAGTTGAGACTTTTCCCAGCATTTAAAACAAGATCGGTGACCGACAGAAAACAATATTAGACATCGTGACTTCAACCATCCCTTCACCGAGTCATTTTCATTCAACGATAAAACTACCGATATTTTTGCGCTGCACTGCACACCGTAAATTTCGTGAAACAAACGCAGAGGAATCTGTGATCACCGCCAACTTGGAAGGCTCACAACTACAATAGTTCAGGAATTGGAAAAGTTCAGCTATTTTGACCAAACTTCTTCTACTGAGGTGCACTAAGTTATTGAAAATAAAATAGGCCAGCAAATGTTCAATCGTCTGTGAGCTGTATTGCTAGACGCTCGTGACTCATCAACCAGTCGATAGATTTCTGGCCTTTCTCAGTTCAGCGAAAACACCTTTTGAACCAGAAAACAGTACGCAAGAGTTTATTATCAGCGGCTGTAAATAAGGGTCGTTAGGGGGTATTACTATTAGAGTTCATGCTGACGTGATTAGTTTCGACTGTTTCTAAATTGTTTTTATGTGATCTGGACAACAAAACAAAGTATCCGCGGGTATAAAAATAAGACAAATTTCTCACCCGCAGTGTTCTGAACAAATATACATCCCAACGATTCTGCACTTCACGTTCAAAGCGCAATAGAAGTGTCGGTCGCGGTTTTGGACGTGGAACGGATCTGGGCACTAGGGCTGAAGAAGGGGTAGATTTGGAGGATACTTTTTCACTGGCACACGATTCTGCAAGGACTCTGTTTTTAGCACGCCTACCGGCAGTTGGCTGAACCGAGGGAGGTTGTAAGCGAGACAGTTGTGGTGGCATCGAATTTTCCACATCAAAGTGATCGGTAAACAACAACACTGGGAAAAGCGCACCGGGGAACTGGCTATCGATCTGCATGATGCATATCAAGAAGTGGAGAAACATTTTTTGATCATTAGATGAAAAGTGAGCAGTAAAAAGCGTTGAGTTTATTGCAATCCATGTACTATACACATGCACAAACGTAACGTAAACAAGATAACGGGAGTTTCACTTGATTCAACTGATTAAGTGATAGTTTTCCACTACTGAGGATTTGAATCAGCACTAAGTAAGGAGGGTTAGAAAGGCCACTCACTTTTCAATCGCAAAAGATACAAAGTGATCATCCATCAGACTCCATATTTGAGCACAATGATCAGTTCATTCAGTCAACAATAACATCGGGAAGCATCAGGCTGCGGGTTAAGTTCACATTGAAGTGCATCAGAAAAGCACATCAGGTCCAGGATTTGAACTCCTGATCCTTAGAATGAGAAGTTTAAGCATGGCAACTAGGTCGACCTGGGAACATCGGGGTTAATCAAAATAACGCAGTACCGGTTGCTCAGTTATCCTCCTCAATAAGCACCAGTCATTTGATAGGGCTTGAAAAATTCCGATGGAAGATACATTGCTCGCGTAAAGACGACGGTTGTTCTGGATTTAGGTACAGTTCGGACAAACTCCTTGACCACTGGTCCAGTCGAAAACATCACCTATTATCAATATAACTACATGAAAAAAAGCACACTAACAAACCCACAGCTTGCGGTGAAACGTCAGTTTAACTCAGTAAAGAAGAGATAAAAGAAGACAGGTGTCCACTCTCGTGTGTGGGTAAAGAGAAGTACTATACGATTGTTGAAACAGGAAGATCAGGAGTTTTGTTAAGTCTAAATTGGTGCATGCGCCTAGGAACTGTGCAGTTCAGCTTTCCACGCGATAAAGTAATTACCTGGGAGTCATAGAGAATAACGACTGACCACCGGAGACTGGATACACCACTGTTGAAGAGTAGACAATATTTAAGAAGTCGGTTAACCCTCCAAAACAATTAGTGCCACCCTGTACATTTTTTTAACAAAATGCTTTCATTTGCAGACATAAAGGAGCACAGAAAAAAAAACGGTGAACAGGTGTTGTTAACCTTAGTCCATTCAAATTAGCAGACAAATGTTAGGTTGTACGTTTCCAACAAAATAAAAATCAATTATCCCACACCACTACTCAAAAGTAACTGTGAGTTAAATGCGAATTATCAATCCAGCCTTGAAGGTTTGTTGGTGAATATAAGCCCACAACCTGCATGGAAATCCTGACTTGGTGAGAGGCATTCGATTGGAGTTAACAGATCGTTATCTGTGTCTCCCTTCGTTGCTATCGGGCCAAATTAACTGACTATCATTGAAGACAACACCTGAACAAACGTGAATTGACAGTTTGGTTCAGTCATGGCATGAGCTGATTGGCACAGTGGTAACGTCATGCGATGAGTCTGGAGTTTAAATCCCGGACACGAAGGTGGATAAGCACTACTGATGAACTCTAATAAGAGCGAAACTCGAGTGTAGTTCTTCCCAGTGTACGGTTGAATCGATGGATTGAGGATTGCGCGTGAGGGGAAGTCCGAAGAGATAGTCAGTTCAAATCAATAAAAAAACATTGACCGTCGATCACGGAAGCTCTGAACTGAAGGTTCCAGCTAGAAAATTGCTGGTTTCCATGAGAAAACCGTTTGCAGATTGAATGAACAATAGATAAATGCAAATTTCAAAAATACGCTTTAATAACACGTTACGCAATAAACGAACACTGCAGATTCTCATCGTAACGTTGACAGAACAACACGAGTAACAAACCAGCTCATTACCAGCAACTCCGTCTTCGAGCTATTAGTTATATATATATATATATATATATATATATGCTTATATTAGCCAGAGAAAACAATACTTTACAGTTAACTATTGGAATCTATCAATGTTCAGGTAATCGCCCGACAAATTCGATCAGAGAATGAGAGAGCACAAATGCAAATAACCAAACCAAAGTGCACACAAAGTTCAGATTGTGAGATAAATTGACCCCTTACCTGAATATGTCCAATGCTCATTTCGACCGATTCCGCAAAATAACTACGCGAAGCAATAGCACGAAAATCCGTGCAACCCATATCCCATTCACCGGACCCAACTCGAGAACGCGACGTTGACGTGCCTGGATCCGATGAATTCAACTCTGCTTGATAGGTTGGAGCACTGTGTTGCTGTAACACATCAGTGGCCAGATTAAGGCCCTCAAGACCTTGGGGTGAGCTGATTTCAGGAGGGGCGTCAGATGTATCGGGATTCGGTAATCGATTGAAAGATATGCGAATGTTGAGTAACGAGGCGTAGATGAGTTCCTCCGCGAACGCGGAAATGACACTGACACCAATTCCATAGGGAAGCACAATCGTAGCCTTGCGAGAAAAGAAAACAATGATCTTGAGCGTTAGTGAGTCGAGCAAGTGATATTTTTTGTCAAAAACCTCAAATCTAAAGGATCAAGAGTAGTCTTTCGCAGTTTGTGCAATTTGTGAGAAGAGTTTGGAACCCCGGTCCGATAATTATAAGAAACAGTTGTCCAAAGAAAGAGGGATGATTGAATGCAGTCATCATCTAGGAAACTGACACAAACCGGATGAGCCATTGGAACACATTCAGAGCAAACACTTCGGACGATTTAATTGAACAGTAAAGCCTTTATCACCATACTGCAAAACCAACATGAGCAGGGATGAGAAGAAAGCCTTAAATATCTTGAGAGCAATTGGAGTATGTGAGGCTGCAGTTGATCCACGACGGTTCAATTCCTTCGTCCGGGATATCAGTTACGACTGGTACCATCTAATTATGTTAGACCCGAATAATTCTTTCAATAACACAATGATACGAACAATTAGTTGATCCCTATTGTACCTAACAGACGTCTCATCGTGATGGCATCGATTTGCCCCATAGGTATTCCAGGGAAGAATGCAATACCTATGTCGCGTAGATTAGTAACAGACGTTTAAGTATGAGCAGGTTAGTGTCCGCTGGTACCTGACGACTTTAAAGACATTAATATACCCGATTTATTAAAGTGGAGCGGATTGCCTAGACCTTGCGGCATTGCGCGGAATATACAACAGTTTCAGTGAAAATTGGACATAGTGAGAATTTAGCACAATGTGTGCGACAAGTGAATCCCAGGTTGAAATATCAAACCGCATGACTGGTAGGGATTAAGCTTCAGTTTCGATTTGTATAATCATTAACCATGTACCCAGTTTTTATCTAAGGGATCAAATACTCATGCTATTATTGGTGGATGAGGTGATTCCTTTTCCTGTTTATGGAATCCGCATTGTCGATTTCTCGATCCAGTATCATCTAAAACAGAGGCGAATCCTCAGTGGCACTGCTGCGTTACCTCGGGGCCGAGGAAAGACGATCCACATATTACAGAGTGTTTTGAGCACACGAAATGCAAGGTGCGAGAAGGAAAAAGTTAAAGGTAATAAGGTACCCAAAACGAAACTCCTTGGCACTCGGAGAATATAAACAATCGTATTTAAGACTGACATTCACATATGTGAATGGGGATATTAGATCTATACGCAAATCTTAGCCCATCGAGACGACAAATGGGCAGACTTACTTTGAAGTGTGGAGCGTCTTTCAACGGACTATTGGAAAGTTGTCGATTGAGCCATGGAGTGGCAGCACCTGATTTCTGTCAAACAAAATAGTTTGGTAAAAAAACGTATAAACAAGAATAGCGGAGGACTGATGCTACTACTGAAAAAACTCCACTGAATGGAAATACTTAAAATTCACTACTTCAACTTTTTCGGGGAAGGATCAGCGGTAGTCGATATCCACCAGCCTAACAAAAATGCCAAAAATAGAAAATCCCAATCGACCAGTTTATGTGACAAGTAAACAGGTGGGAGCAAATTCGATTTAATTCAGAATAGCTTAGCACAGGAAAGGCTTTTAGCTTTTCTCGCGAACTTGAATCCCTGGTATGAGCTTCAGGGTGCGTATATGTTTCTATCTGACTCGGTAAACATCCCGCGCCGTGGCAACCCATTTGGTGACATGCGTAACACATGCATCTACAGAGATCGACCACTTGCTTCAAACATTCTACGCCTAATATCAGCATTGTTTCTCTGGTTACCCCATCACACTCGTTCAATGCTGCGTTGACAGCGCTATTAGATCATCGACAGTATACCTTCATCCTGTTTTCTCAATAGCCAAGTTTCTGCGCTGCATAGAAGAACTGGCCGAACTGCAGCAGCATACACTCGACCCTTAACAGACAGCCAGATGTCGCGACGGGGCCACAGATATCCCAACTTGGGAAATGTCAATCGAGCCTTCTGTAAGCGAGATGATACTTCATCTGTGATGCGTCCACCGGGTGAGATATAGCTGCCAAAAAAAACCTTGTCCACTGGGTTTAGTACTTCCCCAGTGAGAGTGAGGCTGGGTGCTGGACCAAACCAATCTTGTGGCAACATTTTACACTTCGAAGGTGTAAAAGGCATGCTGAACATGGATGCGCCGGCACTCGAACTATCCAGAAGAGCTTGATACTTGCATGGGTCTTCATTTGGTAGCACGTCATTTGCATACTCTAGATCAGACAGGTTGCCGCCTGGGAGTAAATCGACGCCACTTTCCTAGCACGAGGATAGAGCTGTTTCCAAAATCAAATCTACAACAAAGTTAAATTGAAACGGAGAGAGGGTCACCCTGACGAATACCACTCTCCGTGGTGAGCTCGGGTGAAAAAGTGCCGTACGCTCGGACTCAGCTTCGGCTTTTAGCATAAAGGGATCGTAGTATTGAAATGAACGTCTCGGACACACATTTTAGAGAAATGCAGCACTAGAGTTTAGAGCGGTCGACTGAGCTGAAAACCCGTCTCAGATAGAGGAAGACAGAAATAG